CAGTTATTATGATAAACAAATAAAGTTGAAAATTGTACATTGCGTCAAAATAAAATAAAAGCATATCTTTTATAAGGATTTCTATAACTATATACTGGATCTGAGACCTACAAATTTCTGGCTATCATCTCCCCCTCCCCCCCCCAAGTATTGGCTAGATGAAATTTGACATTCATAGAGTTCCTGTTCGAAAGATTTGGTCGAGTATTAAAAAGTAAAAACTGGTTAACCCAGTGAGATATTGCGTGGATCGTGTTGCGAAAAAGGTAAAACGTTCGCAATCGTGTGCCACCGATTAAAAACGTTGACTCCAAAAACCACACACTTATGATAAAATACAAGGCAAAACCGCACACTTTTGGTAGGTTAAAACCGCTGTATCCCAAAACCGCACATTTTATAATGGTGTATAAATTATAAATTATTATTTATATTATATTTATCCAAAAAACATTTTTTAGGTACAGTTTAAATACTGAAAAATTTTAAATATAAAATAAAATTAACTTATTTAACTGGCTGAAATTGATTGTCGACGTTTTTCCAAAAAAAATAAAAAATTAGTTAAAAAAAAAAAATGTTTTTATATTTATTGGTTGAAATCGGTTCCTGAGGTTTTTTAGAAATTTCAATCGATCTTAAAGTTCTTTAAAAAAATTTTCCCAACATTTAAACAAGCGTTCCTATAAATAAACCCAATTTAATTAAAAACTATAAAAATACAAACCAATATGTATATTATATATTTGTGTGTATTTTTACTCCTCCAGAAAAGTCTTATGCAGGGTGATTCTTTTATCATAAACCACTCTATATCTCATAGGGTTTAATAAGAAATACAATTTTTTTTTTCATATTGTGATTACACAACTTAGTATTTCTGATAGCCATTTTTGAAACTTAAACGGTAACGTATATATTTTATTAACTTTTTAAATTGAGAATAATGTACTAAAAGTGTTGAATGGTCGGTAACCAGCTTCGGTTAAATGTTTGGATATTAAGATGGATTATACAAACATTGTGATATCACATAAAAAAAAACCTAATTTTTTTTATATGCAGGGTGATTCTTTTATCATGAACCAGTCAATATCTCACTTGGTTTTTTTTACCCCCCTCTCAACTAAGTTTTTTTGATAGCAACTTTTGAAACTTAAACGGTAAAGTATATATTTTATTAACTTTTTAAACTTATAAAGTTAAAAGAGTTTAAAAGTTAGGATGGGAGGGGAAGTGCGGTTGGGAAATGCGCGCAGATAAAAATAAAAATACAATCCACCTTTCTTTCTGCCCTAAACTTGAAACTTTTATAACTTCAAAAATAGTTATTCGAAACTCGTTATCGACCTATCCCAATTTTTAGTACATTGTTCACAATTTAAAAAGTTAATAAAATATATACGTTAATCTTCTATCCTTATCTCCTACCCCTATCTTCCACCCCAATCCCATCTCCGTGTGGTAACGCTTTTCGTGACGCTTTTTTCGGTTGTGCCAGTGCTAAGACATGAATATGTCGAAACAAAAAAAATTGTGAAAAATTGAGATCACATTGTAAAAAAAAAAATTTAATTTCTTGTTGTATTCTATGAGATATTGAGTGGTTCATGATAAAAAAATCACCCTGTATTCCATCAAACCAAAAAAAATTCCGAAATACGGTTCACTCACGCTGAGCGTCTCGCAACACAAGCACTTCTTTTACGTATTTTAATTGTGTAAAATAAAAGCGTATTTACTTGAATACAAATTTTTTAATTAAATATATTCGGATATGTATTGTTTTTTCAACGTAAACTTCAACTATGTGGCTATTGCTTAAAATGTATATTTAAAGTGATTTTTTTTCTAGCCTTGATCTATTATGATATTGTGTTATTGGTAAAATATAAAAAAATATATACTTAATTATAAAATTTAATTAATTCGTATGCAAGTATTAATTCAATATATATTTATATTTGTGTTAATTTTTTTCTCCAGAAAAGTCTTATATTCCATTAAATCCAAACAAATTCAAAAGAAGGTTCAAATCAGCTGCGCAACTTGCAACAGCTTTTATTTCAAAATTATTATTAATAGTCGTAGCATCAAAGGCTGTTGGATGAATTTTGGCTCACAAATTATTATATTCATAAAACTTATTAATTTTCTTGACTTTTTTATGAAAAGAACAGAGTATGATTTTTGGATGAAAATCTAAATATCATATTAGGTTTTCAAAATATTGCATAGAAACTATGCTATTACGGTCATATGAAAGTCATATTTTTTCAACATAAAATATCAATTCAAGAAATATGTGTTTAGTTTATAATCAAACTTGAAAAAGTTTTTTATGAGATAATTTTTGTAAATATTATGGGATGAATCACAAAAACATATGATTCGGTTTTCAGCTTTGATTCGGAGCCATATAGAATAAAAAAATTCGGAGCGTAAAATGTAGGTATTAGTTTTATAATGATTTACTTTATTTTATTTATATGTACTTATTTGTACTAACTTGAAATTACAAAGTTTGACTAATCACGTAAAGTGTGAGCTAGTATCATAATATATTGCCCTACCATAATATATCAAAGTCATCTTGATAAACTTGACGTTAAAATAATTATAGCAAACACCTTTATATGTCTAATTATTAAAATCTCATGTATTCATCAACATGTATTTGTCATTTGTGTACATTGCAGCAGTCATTGTAGAAAATATTGTATTTAGTACGAAAAAACAAAATATGAAAACAACTTGTTTTTGCCAAAGACCAATACAAATTTGAAATTTTAGATACCAGCAGACACTTATCATTTGTTTACTTTGCAAGAGTTGTTGTGAAATAGTGGAATACATAATATTTTGATTTAAGTCTAATAAGCTCTATGTAATAGCTTTATGAAGCTAAACTTATTCTAGGGAAAACAATATTAATATGTAATATTATTAAGCTTTTTTACAAACCTATGTATTCGTACATGAGTGTTCTACATATTTTTTTAGTTTAATATGACAACATGTTATAATTGAACATTAAACGCGCACAATATTTTCAACTATAAGGTCTTAAATTTATGTCCAAAAACAAAAAAATGTCTATCACCCGAGAGGGTGGGGGGGGAATGCTGAGGATAAAGTATAATTAAAAATTGAGACTACTAATGTGGGAGCACGGCTTGATGATGTGTGACTTTTTTGAGCGTATTTAGAAACTTAAGAATTCAAAAATCGATCTATAAGGCAGTCACTATATGATATATATAATATATCATATATATTTATTATTGCTTATTAGAAAAAAACAAGTTGTTTTATGTTCAGTTTTGTCGTTTGTGTATTTAAGTATTTAAACCATTTTTCTAAAATCACTGTGGCAATGTAAAAAAATGAAAAATCTTTAAAATTTACCACATTGAACATAGTTTAATTTTTAGAGTTTATATTTTTACAATTATTTTAAAATAGCTAAATATTATTACATAATATTAATATTGTTTCCCCTGAATAAATTTAGCTACATAAAGCTACTACATGGAGCTTATTAGACTTAAATCGAAATATTATGTAGGTATTCTACTATTTTACAACGGCTGTTGTAATGTAAACAAATGATAAACGTCTGTTGGTATCTAAGATTTCAAATTTGTATTGTTCTGTAGCAAAAACCAGTTGTTTTCATATTTCGTTTTTTTTGCACTAAATACAATACTTTTTACAATGACTGCTACAATGTAAACAAATGACAAATATTTTATACCATTCTGAATAGATGTACATAAACATGTTGTAATGATTTCATAAATATTTTTAAGATTTTAGGTGTACCTATATGTTAAAATATACGAAATTAGGTACCTACACCTAAAATCTTAAAAAAAATGTTTGAAATCATTATAACATGTTTATGTACATCTATTCAGAATGGTATAACATATTTATCATTTGTTTACTTTACAACAGTTGTTGTGAAATAGTCGAATACATACAATTTTGTTACACTCCAAAAAGCTTTTATAGCTTAAACTATTCAGGGAGGAAACCAAATTACTTTGTAATTAAAAAAATGTGTAAAGAATAATCTTGTTACACACGTATATCTTGTTTTCTAGTTGACTAAACAGAACATTTAACTATAATTAAAAGAATCTAAATGTTTTTTTGAATACCTTCAGTTTAATTATTTATATTTTAAGTATAGTATATTAATACAACTTGTGTTTTACAAAGCTAACATTACTGTACACTCAATACATTATTGTACAATACTACAAAATAACAGTTAGAATGGTCCTATTTTACCTTTACAAGTAGTCATATTTGTATAATAAAAAAAGTACATAGTTTTACATTGCAATTTGTAGAATAAATTGCCTACGCGCAAAATCTACATAAAAAATCACAAATTATATGATTTGTTTTTTTACCAAAAATAAGTTGTTTTTGTAAAGGTAAAGTACTAAGTACATTTTCCCTTGTTTTTTGCGTTATTAAATGAAGTTAACATTTAAAACCATTAAATCCTGGTACAAGGGAAAGGGTGATAATCACTTTGAGTCAAAATAAAAATTATAACCTATCTTTTTGAAGGATTTCTATAACTATAAACTGGATCTGAGGCCCACAAATTTCTGGCTAGAATTTATCATATATATTATAATATGTCTGTTATATAAACCTATCTACGAATAAAGAAAATATTCACCGAATAAGTAAATTTGTATTTAATTATCTAATCTATTCCAACTATTTGTTTTTACTATAATTGGTATAATTTTCGATATTAATAAAATACGAGTATAAATATTATCAACAAAAACATGTGTTCTTCGTAGCGCTATTGTGGTTTATTTTAACAAGTAGGGTTTACCACCATTACCAAGCCTTCGTATGGGTTTTTTTAAGTATATATGTTTAACCAATCTATCAACACAATTGTTAAGAACAAATAAAGAACCAAATAAAATAGTTGTAGAATTAACATGAACTGTAGTCACGTACTCTAGTATAGCGTTGCACTTCCTTGGCGTTTCACTTCGACTTTAAATCCGAAAATTTATATTTCGTTTGGTGTTTTAATACTATTCAAGATTTTTTTAAATATGAAGTTTAATAGCATAGTTTTGCTTCTAACAGCCGCACTGTTCATTATCCTGGCAGTGTCTACAGGTACATAAAAAAAAAAACAATTAGTATAAAAATGTTATAGTAATAATAAAAAAATTAAACTAAGCGTCAAGTTTCGATGTCTTAGTTTTTTTAGTAACCTGATGATTTTTTTAAGAAAAAAAAATTTAATTTAAAACTTTTTATTTATTTATTAATTAATTTTTATATTATAAAAATCTATTTTCTATATTTCAGGTGTTGAAGGAAGTAAGTTCACGCATTAAATTATATGCATTACATAATTATATTATTTAAAAATATTGCATTAAGATAAAAAAAAAAAAATATATTAAAGTAAATATTAAAGTTTTTTTTTTCAAAATTTCAGAGGTTACGCCAAAACCTGGTAAGTCTTCGAGACTTTGATATAGCTTATATAATTGATTAAAGCGAAATTTAATATTAATTTTTAATTTTTTTGTTATTCAAATGACTGTAAGTTCTTTTCTTCAAAATTTTAGATATCCCGACCACACCAGATGGTGCTAGTAAGTGATTGAGTTATTTTTAATAACTTTATAAGCTATAAAAGTGAAATCTAGCATATATTTGTATTAAACGGGTTTCAAATGACTGTAAGTCAAGCTGATTGTACAATTGTTTTCAATAAAGCTTAAAATGAGTATGAAATGTTACAAAAGGGTTATAAAAGGAATTTTTTCGATATTTCAGATGATCAGCAAACAGAGAGTGAGTCTTTTTAATTTGTTTTTATTAAAGCTTATTATGTGTTTAAAATGCTATAAATGCATTAACCAATTTCCGACGAAAGATGTATTTATTTTATGGTGCGCGTACGCACCATTGGCCAAAAATGTGTTAAACTATTGAATATAAGAATAACTCTACCATGTTTAATGGCAATATAACACAATTAGTTAATGCGTAGCTAACCAAGGTAAGTAGTTTAGATCTACGGTTCAAAATAATAAAATAGGAAAAACGAGTATTTGATTTATTTTTTGATGTTTTAGATCAACAGCTACCTCCACCAATAGAAAGACCAGCACAACCACAATTAGGTCCTCCGGCTGGTAGGTTTTTGAGACTTAAATAAAATGTATGTAGGTTATAAAATAGGAAAAACAAGTATTTGATTTATTTTTGATGTTTCAGTTCCAGATACACGACTACCAACTCCACCTGGCAGGTATAAAAATGAACTTATTTAAAGTGAACCATTTTCATTTTTTTCATAATAATTAAAACAATTGATACCGGTAGAAGTAAATCCTAAGATTACTTATCGAGACTACTATTAGAATACTTAATAATTTATAATGTTAGCCTAACACTTAATTTTAATTAAAATGTATGTATAAGCAAATTATAAAAAAAACGACTTTTTTTCACAATTATTTAATTTTTTTTTTTTCAGCCCTCGTAACAACGATTAAACTTTACAACAAGCTACAATATCTTAGATCCGTGTCGCATTCTGAAAAAAATATGCTTACTAAGTTGTGTATATTTTAAAATTTTCATTTTTGATCATCATAATAAACACAATAATTATTATTGTGTTTGAAACTATAGTGTTTTTTCCAATAACAATATGATATTCCAAGTAAAGCATTTTGTTACTTTATCATATAAATTACATTATGTGTACCTATCTACCAATAAAATAATGTTCACCGAATAAGAAAACATCTTGTATTTTATTATCTAGTCTATTCCAACCATTTGTTTTTACAGCTGCTTTGAATTTTTACAATAACATTTTTAATGTAGAAATATACCTACCTAAAAATCCATTAAAAAATAATTCAATGTATTAAAACAACTGTGCACTTAGCCCTTGAACAATACGCCTCTTTAGTGAAATCGGTAAACTTATGAAGTATTATTTTATGTTAGTCTGTAAGCATATAAAAAAATCTAAAAAATACAATTCGATAAATCCGTACAATGTTTTGCCATTTTATCGACTTGCCTACAATTACAAAATAAATGGGACAAAAAAAAAAACAACTATTCAAGATTTTAGGTGTTTTTGTTAAAATATACGCAATTTGCGAAAACACAGCTTTCCGGCAATTATAAAAAAACTGTATTGCCGAATTTGTTTTCCGTTTAATATGTTATGAACACATATGAGTTCTACCAAATACCACGGGCATACCAAATAAATATTCTTAATAAATTTCAACTCGATCCGGCTTTTTTTCTCGAAATTATAGCCAGTAAAAGTTCTAACTTAAAACTCATACGGTTTTATTTTTGTTTTTTCAAATTTCGACTGTGAAGAAGTAAACTTTTTCAACTTTTATCCTCCTCCCCCCCCCCTCAAAGTACCAACAAGATGAAATTTGTGATTTATAGAGTTGCTACTCGAAAGAATTGATCCAGTATTAAAAAAGTTTTAGTGTATACAAATAAAAAAAAAAAACACATTTGAGTAAAACCAATGATATACCTGTGTCTAATTATTATGCTAAGAACAACCAAAAAGTTTGAAACGATAAAGTCGTTTTTTCAAAAATCATAATTGTAAGTTGGATAAATACCAATTTTGAATTCATATTTTAGATCATATTTATCTAATTCTCGATTTATTTTTGAACATTTTATGACATATCTTTGTGGCTGAAGAATTACCATGGCTTTGGCTTTTATCATTCGATGGGCTCACTCATCATATTGTATCACCATTTTTTTCCTTTATTTATGTATACAGTAAAAATAAATGTTGTTACTCGTGTAACAACATTTTCATACACCGTATAGCAACATTAACATGTACGAGTACATACAGTCATGGTTTATTTACATTGGTAAATAAAATATTTTAGCCAGATATTTAAAAAAAAATATGATTAAAAAACATTTGTGCAGGTGCGTGCCAGAGTGATATAAGCCTGCAGTGTATCTGGGCATCTGTATCATTGGCGATAACCGGCATAGAATTGCGCTCCATTACCTGTTATAGCCTCAACAGGATAGATTAGATAGGAATCTTTTAAATCAATAGACACTATTGTTGTAGTAAATGAAACCGTACATTTTCCAACTAATTTTTTTCATTCTCTGGATATACCAGGAATGCCACCATCACACACTCTTCGGTTAAAAATTAGTTTACCGATTATTCTTCTGCGTAATTTAAATCCACCTAGATTATGCACGGTATACGTATGGTCATTAAAAAGATCACCGGAAATGTTCTTGAAGCAAAGGAGAAATTGACCTGTTGCCATGAATTCCAATGATATCGTCGGAATCTCCAATACCACTCAAAAGACTTTAATTTCCTATTGGTTTGGCTTTCGCGATGACCATAAATAAGTTTCAGGGAAAAACATTGTCCATTTGCGGCTTGGACTTTAAAAAACTATATGTTGCATGCTCTCGTATGGGGAAACCATCGAATCTGTTTCAAAAGACAGATTAACTAAAAATGTTGTGCACTGATTAGCGCTAAATTAAATCTTACTAATATAAACTAATAATTTGTATAATTTGTGAGAACTATGTTTCAATTGTATTTCTTAACCCATGCCTAGCCGGGTACATATTTATATATACACTAGCTGCCCGTGTAAGCAAATAGTAACATTAATATATTTTATTAATGTTACTATTTGCTTATTATCCCCGGTAGCATAGATTGGAAATATTTTTTTATAAAAACATTAAAAAACTACGATTTTATTTCATGTTAATGTTTTGAATAGGAATATTTTTAAACTATTTTGGCGTTTTTCTCAAAATTTGCCAAAATGAGATCACATATCGTATTGTTGTTCTTAAACATAATAACAAAATAATCTGTTCAACTGGGTTACTCGTGTAAGAACTTGATTATACACCGTATAGCAACACAAATATGTACTACAAACGCATTTTTCCATAAATTAAAAGTACATTGGTTAGTAAAAACTTTAGTTACAGGTTTTTAGGAAAACTGAATATGATTAAAAAATATTTATATTCAATATTATGGTGTTTTCGATGTCAAGTTATATCATTAGTTTCAACTAAAAAATTGTAGGTTTTATTTAAGCGGAACGAAAAGTGGTTAATTGTATACCCATGAAGACTAAAACGCAAAGTCAATTTCTGGAATTTACTTTTTTTAATAAATCTAACTAGTTTTCAAATAGATTAATCAAAAACTTTGATTCTTGCAGTTTAATTTTAAAAATATTTCTGGCTCTAGACGGCTTTTAGACTCTGTTTTTATTGGAGGGCGTTGCACACCCACCAGTAGAGCCTACACATCAGCCTACAATTTCTTAGCTACATATCTTTATGTCTTTATGTACCATATTATTTTGTCCAAGAGTGATTTTAATATTTAATTACTTTCATAGTAATACTATAATAACGGTGAAATTGTCGATTTTATTGTGCCCCTTCCCTATTAATTGCCAACTCCACTATACTGATATTTTGAAATATTTTGGCTAGTCTAGCGTGTAATACTATTATAATTATCATATTATGTATTATTATATTATACATTGGTATACAATGCTACTGTGTAACTCTAAGCTGATAATTATTGTGCATATAGCTACAAAACAAATAATTAAAATAATCTACATCATTGTAAAACCAATACCTATCTTTTACGCTCCGCATCAAAGCTGAAAACCGACTTATATGCTTTTATAATTAAGACAATCATATTTACAAAAATTACCACATTTTTACCACTTCTTTAAGTTTGTTTTTATACTAAACAAATTTTTAGCTTCGATGCAATTAGTTTTACCATGATGTGGGCTAGTTTTTTGTCTGTATACACTGTAACCTTTTTAATACTGGAACAATTCCTTCTAGTGTAAAAAGTATTGTATTTAGTGCAAAAAAAACGAAATATGAAAACAACTGGTTTTTGCTACAGAACAATACAAATTTGAAATTTTATATACCAACAGACATTTATCATTTGCTTACATTACAACAGCCGTTGTAAAATGGTAGAATACATAATATTTCGATTTAAGTCTAATAAGCTCTATGTAGTAGCTTTATGTAGCTAAATTTATTCAGGGGAAACAATATTAATATTATGTAGGTAATAATTTTAAGCTATATAAAAATAATTGTAAAAATATAAACTCTAAAAATTAAACAATGTTCGTTGTGGTAAATTTTAAAGATATATCATTTTTTTTACATTGCTACTGTAATTTTAGAAAAATGGTTTAAATACCTAAATACACAAACGACAAAACTAAACAAGTTGAATCTTTATGAAATCAACAGACATATGTTTACATTGCAGCAGTTGTTGTGAAATAGTCAAATATATAATATATATTATTTACTTTAAAATAAGTATAATTTTCGATATTAATAAAATATAAATATTATGAACAAAATTTTAAATCATGTGTTCTTCGTAGCGCTATTGTGGTTTATTTTAATACGTAGGGTTTACCACCATTACTAAGCCTTCGTATGGTGTTTTTAAGTATACATGTTTTGCCAAACTGTCTACACAATTGTCAAGAACAAATAAA